TGTTATTGTACTATCTTTGGAAATTATTATATATGGAACTCCATTTCTATACTTCAATTTACTTCCAGAAATACCTTTTTCTTCATTTGCCTTCATTTGCGATAATAAGATTTTCAAATGTTCACATTGCTTTGGTGTCTGGTTGGCTGAGATTTTAATAGAACTTTTATTCCTTGTGTTTGAGAATGTCTAACACCAAGGAGCGATTTTTCAATATGACTTTCAATGGTCTTGTGCTAGATGGTGAATTTGTTTGAGAATCTGTTGACGATTTGGCAGGATTACCTCGTTTATTATTGGGACCTAGTCTCATTGTTGAAAATTCACCAATATCGATGTCAGTGATAGCCGTTAGAATAGTTTTAGCTGCTTGTTTATCATCGATCAATCGTTGTTGTGTAGACACAGTCTCTTGACCCTCATCGACACCCAACAAAATCAAATTATATGAATGCTTTTCTCGATCAATTATTTCACCATACATTTCTTCAAAATTCGATGAAAAGGAATTCGGCCCAGATTCCAGATTTCCATTATTTCTAAGTTCTTGCACTTCCTTCAATAGCATATCATTTGACGTCTGCAAAAACTCAATTTTCCTATTTAATCTAGCAAGGAAAGTCTTAAGATCACCAAGGTCAGTGGCTGCTTCACATTTATCGCAACAGTAACGAAGTCTTATGGCTTTTTTCAGTGCAAAAACCTTAAGTTCTGAAGCTGAGAGTTTGGAACACATTACATGCTCTGCACTCAGCATAGTCCGGTTCACCAGATTTATTGTTCACACGGATAACCGAACCACATTCAGCACAATTCATTGCCATGATTTATAGATCTTAGATATTATAAAGTAAAACACCTGTACGATTAATAAACCAAACTGTTATCAGTGCCCAACGCGTTGGTAAGAACGTGCGACAACTTATAAATGGTCACTCGGGAACACGTCTGGGAGAACGTCCGACCACTACGACTTTATTCCATATTCTTGGTGAAATTGTTCATAAAATCTAGTGTCAAAATGAAAACATTATACATATTAGAGGAACAAACTAAATATTCTCACTCAACACACAATAATTCCACTTTTACAAGATCCAGGCCTATTATTTACTTAACAGCAAACCAAAATACTCAATTTAACAACTGTTAAATTTATAACTGGCATAATTTCCCCAAGGAATTTAACTTCATGCTACTGCTAGCTAAATTATGCATATCGTTGGAAAATTATATTCATTATATTAATAATATAAGGAATGATATTCAAACATTTTTTTCATAAAGGTCTTTTGGTTAAAACATTAATTGAAAATAATACAATATCTAAATATTAACTTAAATTTACACTGCATGTCTTCAAATACAGTTTAATTTATTCCCAAATTTCGTTGACATTCCATCTTTGAAAAACTTATTCAAATATATTTTTATTTTTTTTCCTTTTCTTCTTTTATAAATCAAAAAGAACCTATTGTACTCATGAAATTGTCAGAAATCACCTCTTCATATTTAGTTTTCTTTCATTAAGCCATTCTCCTCAGGTCACACAATAAAACTTCACATTACAAAATGTTGAATATAAAAAACCTTTCAAAACTATGTTAGCTTTCTCACAGCTTCCTGTTAACTTTCTGTAATTTTCAAACAAATGTTTTCAAAATATTCTTTAGCTACAATAGTTCAGTGATCAAGACAGAAAACACTGTTTACCTCCAATTTATGAGCTGGTGAATCAGGAAGCGTGTCTTTTAGAAAATCTTCCAAAGATTTAGCCGCAGGGGCTTGCTTTTTATTTCCAACCATCATTTTTTCTATTTCTTCTTCACTAAAGCCTTTCTGCATTAATTTTTCCTTTTTACGTTCCAAACGGACTAGTTTTGCCTTTTTGCAAGGGGGTTTACTAGCATCACATCCTTTCCCTGTTGAAAAAAAATTATACTGTTAAAACCCCTTTTTGTAAAGAGATATACACATTCAAAATAAGGAAACAACTCTCCCAGCCTTTGTTCTCAGGCACACTGTGAAATTGTGAAGAAATAATGATTGAAATGGCTATCCTTCCTCCAGAAGCAATTATATCAATAAGAATTACTCACTTATTAATAATTAATTATATGTATAAACAATATTTTTAAGAAATACATTATTAAGATAATATTCACATTATGAAAAACACAGTTCCTGAAATTTCAAAAACAAACACATTGCAGAGAAGACTAACTTATTTTTTAAATGTAAATAAAACACTAAAGGTTTATTATTTTATTTATTAAGGCTTATTAAGGAATATTTTCTTGTAATACATAAAAAAGAAGAGTACATGAATAGTAACTGGATGATTGACTCAAACTACACAAAAATTTGTTTGCATTTTTGCAATATCTAAATCGGACAAAAATGAAGTAAGTCCTGTTTTGAAAAAGTTACAGATTTTCAAACATGTTAATACAATGAGTTAGGTTAGACCCAAATACCCTATGTCAGTTCAATTTATTTCTGCAACCTAAAATATATGAAATGACTGATGCTATTATTATGCTATATTTGAGGCAAAAAAGAACAGTTGCTAAAGATAAGCAGCATGTTTTAAGCTAACTGACTTGCTGGGGATCTCGAAAGCACAATAGAACATTTTTTTTATTATTATTATCCAACAGGCATACAATGCCTAAATACATTTCATATATACATAGGTTTATACGCTCTTGAAGATTACAAAATATTCATTTGTCATAAAATAAGTATTGTCAATTGTTGCATATCTATCCAGTGAAATCTAATATGAGTTGTTTGATCATTTTAGCTATTGACGTATTTCGAGTCAAATCAATTTCATTCATATATGTATTGGTGATTCTGGCTAAACGTGGTATAGCAGAATTATAGAAATAGTCGGTTCTACAGTCAAATTCTCTCAGTAGAGTAGATATTCGCATTGTGTATGGCTAGTCATACAATTGATACATATTTCGAAGTGATGTACTTTTAATTTTTCCAGTCAATAATTTATTCATAAACAACACGTCATGTACTATTCTCGAGGATGACAAAGTTGGTATTTGCAAATAGCTAGATATTTCACTGTAGTCATGATTATACCTCCGATTAGGTTTTTTTAATTTGAAAGCTACATAAGAGAAGAATAAATGTTGAACTCGTTCTATCTTTTTGCTAAGATATTCAACATTTTTATTTAAGTGTTCAGTTCCAACAAATAATTGTTTCACTTCACGTTTGATTGAATTACTTTCACCTGAATACATTGTATATTATTTTGAAAGTGTAACTAAGAATTGGTTTCAAAAATGTTTGAATTTCCTTTCCTGAAGGAGAATTGATTTCTTTTTTAAAATTAAAAAAAATCTCTTATTATTCTTATTGCAAAACCAATATGAAATTTATGAGTTGGTTGTCGCTGTTTCTTATTAGCACAAATATTTCTTTCACTGCACACACATGCTTGTCCATTTAGAGTGAGGTACTCAAACTATTCATATAAAGAATAAAATGGATAAGTACCAAGACAAATCCTTGGGAAATCCATTCTTCATTGGAATTTAATAGATAAGAAAATATCGCCCATATATGATGAAAATATATTTCTACTATTATTGATCAAATTATTTTAACATGCAGATGTTTAATAAAGCCTTTAAAAAGCATCTATTATTTAAGTTGAAAATTAAATTTGTGTTTAGATAAAACAATATTTTTTAAATAAACCAAGATAATACCAATTTTATTTTTTTCGTTTTTCATTGATAAAATTACATCAATGAAAGATAAAAATAAAATCTGTTCCCACACACATGAAGTTACTGAAACCAGCTTGTGAATTAGTCATTACATCATGCATATAGGGAAACGATTCCAAACAAAAATAAAAGAAGTTTCTTTGAAATTTTAGAAAAATATTTTAAAAAAAATAAATATGCATGAGAGTTTTGAATATTGCTTTATCTCCTGTTTTGGAGAGTTCAGCTTAAAAGATCTGAGAAAGTCCCTTATGTCCAAGCATTGAAAACATCTGACAGCTGTGTAGAACAGATGTGTAAATCTTAAAACAATAAATCTAGAAAACTTCCAATACATGATGAGAATTTTATTTTTGAGATTTAAATTACTATCAAGAATCTGAAAAAGGTAAGTCTTTGTATAATCATTTTGAACTGATATAAGAACAAAACGGAAATGAAGTCAAATTTTGAAAATTAAAATTTGGTAAGAATTTTTCTTACAAGAGAAGCTTAATGTTTATTGAGACAATCAGCCACTATCACCAGATCATTGATTTGTTGGTTGTCAGTGTTCTCCAAGCAATAGTTTTTATAAATAGTTTTAGTTGTTTCACATTGCTTTGGATTTGATACTATATTCCAAAATGCCCTTATCACTGCTCATTAGTTATGCCAGATCTATAACTTCTCCTGGAAGCAGAGTTATATTTGATAATATATGCCCAATACGCATTAATTATAGTGTTTTGGAAAATAAATATAATTAATCACTCCGTTTTACAAGAATTTTTAATCCCTTCGGAGATCCTTGGTTCATATTTCGTGAGACATGCACGCTGCTCTTTTTTACGGAAAGCAATGTTTAAGTAAGGAGGTGTCCAACTTGCAAGGGGTCCAACTCGAGGGCCAAAACTAAACCTTTATTATAGCTGCGGACCATATTTTCGTTCCTCGGGCGATCCACACCAGACTTCCCGTTAGTTGATCACACGGTTAGGCCGGCTGCTCTGAAACTGGGAAGGGAATGGAACCACGGCTGACATGTGGCCGTACCATGCATAACGCAATGAAAGACATTGAGATGGTTCTGAGTTTCTGGATTTACCCCCCCCCCCCCACACACACACACACACAAAAAGGGGAAACAAATCCTTAAAGCTAAACCTATTTTTACATTAAGGGGTACTGACCCCGGCCTGGCTTGTGAGCTAGTAGCATTGCGTTCCGCCCGACATGGACGCAAGAGATGATCAAATTTGACTGCAAACCTTTCGCGGCCCACATATTTGGCACCTCGGGCCGTCAGTTGGACAACCCTGATTTACGTAATTAAAATGTTTAAAAAATGTTTTTAATTCATTACCATCAACCAAATACAGAAAAAATATTGTTTGATTGGAAGTTTATGGTTCTTAGAAGTTTGGGAGGATAATAAACCTGCATGGACGCAGTGAAGCGACAGGTCCTGATCGGAGACAAAGGGCTGAAAGGAATTAGTCGGGAGTTTACGGTGGCACGGATGCTGTTGTGTTTAATTATTTATGGTGACATTCTCTTAAACGTGTGGGAGAATTATAAAACAGCGTGGGCGCTAACCAGGTCGAAAGGGGGGCGCTTTCGCAGAATGTTGCAGCGCAGAATGTTACATCGCGGACGTCGCGCACCATTTAGGTTGAATTGAATTGAATTTGCCTTATTTTACGTGGCGAGACTCGGGCCATCAGGGCCGCTCTTCAGTCTGACCACGCAAATTTCGCTACGCTCCTTTCACCAACTAGCAGAGGAAGGAGGTATTTCTTGGGCGAGAACAGGCGGTTTGAATTTAGCTCAGAGGCGTCATTTAGGCTTGACGATCTTTTACATGCAAGTAAATCTACTAACATGGGACGGCCGGCTTTACTTTCCCTCCGAAGGAAGGCGTACGAAGGATTTTTTTCGCCCTTAAAAATCCACGGCATCGATCGGCTAACCGTTACATCATCGCCCCCGCTTATGGTTCAACATGCTTCAGTTATAAAATACCGTAAACAATATGAACTGAAATAATCAGTTCATTGATTCAAATGAATCAATTTATTTGAATCAAAGGTGCTGAAATCATATAATTAATTCAAAATTACCTCACAAACACTATAGATGAAAACTCTCAACATGAAATGAATTATTAAAGTGCTAGTGATGAATTTTAGAAGAAGAAAAAACTCTAGCTTTAATTTTCAAAGAATAGAACAGTTTTTGAATAAAAGGCGAACTTACCTTAAAAATAACAATCACTTTATATAAAAATTACACAAATTACAAAGTCAAGACTGCTTTGAAAAATAAGTTTCTGACGTCTTAATTGTTGTTCAATTTCTGCACTCTCGTAAGTTGGGAGGAATAAAACAACAATTTGACTCCCAAAACTGCATTTTTAATTCAACATTTAGTTTTAATTTGAAAAGAAATCCAAACTTAATCATAATTACATTAATGACAATTAAATCACACTAAATCATAATTTTTCATAACAACTTGACTTAGATGCAGAGTTCTCAGGAGACTAAATTTGCTTGGGATATCCAGTTTGCAGCATTGATTCCAGATTGGTTTTTAACAATATAATACTGTTATTACAATTTTGGGACACCTCAGAATCAAGGAGCAAGAAAATTAAGTTCTCATCACAACTATTGGAGAAGAGGTTCCTAGCAAACTAGAACTCTACGAGTTCTAAATATATTTAATAACAGCCCACCTATTTGCAATTATTTTTTAGTCTCTTACAATAACAAAATTACACTTGAAAAAAATGACAAGTAACTTCTTAATTAATTAAAACTGTTGTATGTACCCAAGCTTTCAAAAATACTGTAATATCATTGGTGGTGATGATGATTGATACATGATGAACAAATAATTTTGTACCAAACAAAACGAACAAAATAACCAACAATACTGTTTTGAAATTGAACATTAATTTACTTTTATCTACAAGATCTATTAAGATACAAACTCAGCAAATCTAAATGCAGAGTTCACAAATAAAAAGTCTGATAACGGTGACATAATAAAGTACGGTGTCATAAAATTGAGATATTGGAAATGAAAGAAAGTAAACAAAAAAAATTAACACTACTTGCCTGGAGTAACAAATTTCTTTGGTTCATTACTTGAAACAGATGAATTTGACTTTCGAGTCGTTTCCAATTCTGAAACTTCGGAAGCTGAATCTATTACCCCAGAGAGGAACTGACTGGTGCCAGACAACAGTTGTCCAGGTGCAGATAAGAGTTGTTGGGCAGTCCCAGACAAAAGTTGTCCTGGTGCAGATAAAAGTTGACCAGTGCCAGACAAAAGTTCTCCTGGTGCAGACAAAAGTTGTCCTGTGCCTGATAAAAGCTGTCCAGGTGAAGGCAAATACTGTCCAGCTCCAGACAACAATTCTCCAGTACCTGACAAAATTTGTCCAGCTGCAGGCAGTGTGTCAGTCAAGCTACTTATAATATTTCCTGTAACATTTGCAGATTATTAACATTAATATTTAGTGAAATAATATGAGTTACAAGTACATACCAATTCGTCCAGTGAGTGAAGGATCAACAGAAGACAATTTGGCATTTTCAGAATTCTTCTCAGCTCTTACAGATTTTTCATGAAGGTCAGGAATGTCCATCACCTCAGGCCCATCACCAGGACCTTCTGATGTCTCAGAACCTTCTCCAAGAGAGCCATCTGGATTTCTTACATCATCTTGAGCAAGAAATCTATGAAACCTCTTTAACACTTTCTTTTGAGATTTTGTCAACTTGAAGTCTAAGGCAGCACACCTAAAATCAAACGCTTTTATTGAACTGTACTCAATAAATAGAAGGCAACCTTTAGCATACTAGCATGTAGGGGAAATAAATATCACTTAGCAAAAATGTTCATAACCATAGTTGAATTATTTTCAATTTTCATATTAAAGAACAAACACATGGTACACAAATACATACTTTATAGTATACATAGGACAGCATGTCACATGCATTGTTGGTTTATAACAATAACGTCCACTTCTCCTCCAACCACGGTCAATCAAATCTTGATAATCTTGAACTGTCATGCTATGTGCCCACATGCCTATTCAAATCAGGAAAGAAAACATCACTTGATATTTTTGCTTTTTATCACTGAGAAATGTGTATTTGTAAACAAGTAGCACAGGTTGTTATATGGTGGGGATGCTTCTCAGTGTTGTCTCACATAACCTAAAAACCTTACCAAACGCAGCCTCTACTATAAGTGCATTTCTTTCAGCTTCCTTTAACTCAACAATAATGGTACTCACCATGACTGTAATTGGTATCGATTGACTTGCAGTAGCCACAACGGTATCGCTCATGCTCTGCATAGTACTCAACAATACTATAATCTCTACCAGACATACTTCGAACCTCCACCTCACACCACACTATTATGTAATATAAATAATATTATTTATAATATATGGCTACAGCATTATCTGAACGCCTTGACCATAAACTGGTCTAGTATATAGATTAGGTGTCACCATGTCATAATCAAAATAAGCTGAGGGCTATCCTCCTTTTCGTTCGAGATCGGCATTTTCCGACCCGTTGTTCCACTCGCGAACGGGTCAACTAGCTTCTGCAGCTAAGGAATCAAGAACGAAATAACATTCGTGCAGTTCACGGTTGTACAATTCTACAATAAACTTCTTTTGTTTGTTTTTTCACAGCGCGGAGCGGGTAATGAAATTTGACAAGTATATATTTTTTTAAAGAAGTTAAAAATGAATGTCGTTATAATAAATATTATCTTGTAAATTCGTATTTAAGTATCATATTTGTCTTAAAGATAATTTGCTGCCTTCAACAGTTGAAGAAATAAGTTGAATTAATCAAGACCGTCTCGAGACGGCCTTGGTTGACTCCATATGCCCATCGTGCTTAGGTTGCACAGCCTCAGATAATCTTTTTATTTATTGTTTATTTATTATTTATTTGACGACATTACTGTTTTCAGATATTTGATGCATACTAGCCATCTGTAAAATATAAATAATTCTGTACATAATCCCCACCATAATTTCATAAAATTTTTAACAATTATCGTCCCCTTACAGTCTTGGCGCCATGCGAAGGCCACGTTCCCAAAGGACACAGTTGCGGGGATGCTACAGAAAATAGTTTAATTTAAAATCATGTCAGAAAATTAATTTTATACTCAAATTACTATCAAAATACGAACATATGATACATCGTTGTATTCCTCATTTTATGATATATTAATTGCTGATAAGAAAAAATATAGTTCTATTTAAAAAATCAAAGATGATTAAATTTCTCGAAAACTAAAAACATTTCAGACAATATCTCGACGGTTTATTAATTGCCCCCTGATTCTGCACTGTTGAGCGGAAACTACATTTCGATATCGTGAACTGTATAGAAATTATGAAAGATATTGGACGTCCTTCAGTTCTAGATGTGTAATTTATACGTGAAATTATCCTTCCTTGTTTATATAATGTGCTGCAAATATTGTAACAGTTAAGATTTACACAGGTTTGTTTCTTTTGTAGAAGTAAACTGCTATTATTCCTATCTATTGAAATAATAGCAGATAACCAACGCAGGCGGGTCGTTTGAATTTTTAAAGTGATAACATTGAAATATTACGTAACCGTTCCAAAAATGTGAGAAAGTATGTGCACCTTTAGTTTAAATTGTAGATCATTGTTCTGATGAGGACCAAAAATATGGTTGAAACATCAACTTCAAAAAGTAAACACTTGTCAAATAAATTGGTCGTTAAATATTATTACATTTTATTTATACTTCATACTCGTATTTGCACATCTGTTTGTATTATATTACATTATTATTTTGTTGGTTTGGATATGTAAATTTTGACATTCATTCGGAAAAAAACACAAAAAATTATGTAATTTCATACTGACGATACGAATAGTCTTTGTTGCTTTTTTAATTTTGTCTGTCAGCACAGACAGCTGGCTCAACACGCTTATCTCTAAAGACTACTGTGGACTGTTTCTCCATAGGTAATGGGGATTTCTCCTCATCTCTCTGTTGCCTAACGGCATTATCTACGCTATCGTGTTATTTTCGTCGCGCCACGAATCTGTCCATCCGTCTCCCCGTCCCTTTACTTATTTACACTCGCACACGTACACGGACACGTTGACGGACGTCTAACCACTTACGGTGTGTCAAGCGCCTTATTTACCTTTCACCAAGGTCGTTTCGCAAGATGATCGTCAAAATATTCGTCAAATGTTGATGGACCAATACTCTGCTATCAACACCTTCGAAGTGTGCGAATCAAAGGTGTGCATTGTATTTCCTTAACGTAGTGTAATGTTTCTTCGTGGTGTACTAAAACACACGCAGGTAATATTTAACAAAGACGTTTATTTTGTTTCTTAATGAAACACTAAAATACTTGATTTCTTTACAGGTAGGTTAAACAGTCCTTTTGTTCTTCACTTGATTATTTCCTTACACACGACTCTGTTCTCTCCATTATTTACTTACACTGTTTACTTCTTCTGATTATTTAATTACATTTTTCACTTCCTCTACACTATCGCACAGTGCGATGCACTGTGCACAGTCCTCTGCGCTGACCACAATTCACGGCGCTGGTCACGGTCCATTGCACTGCTGTTCACCGCGATACACCCTTCACAGCTAAGCTTCCGCCTTCAGGCTGCTGTTCACCTATTGCACCACTGTTCACTTCAATGCACACTTCACAGCTCAGCTTCCACTTCAGACTGACTTAGACTGCTTACTCACTGACTGACTGCTTACTTCCGACCGACTCGTGACCGCCGGCAGCGGCGAATTTATACCTGGCTGGCACCCGTCTCCATCCATCCGGAACTTGCTCCACATTTCTACGCGACTCGCAAATAACCCGGAACCGTCCTGTTCGGGAGACGCCGGCAGATAACGCAATCCGCGCAGCGAGTTCTGGCAGATGATACAATATTCGTTACAGTAGTTATTTTACTCGTACTGATCAAGTGGAGCATACGTGATATGATGAGAGATACTTTTGTATACATGCAAACCATTGGTACGGAACAAGAAATACTAAAAAAACATTTTTAAAATTATTTGAACAATCCTCAATTCGTAACCTCATTCATAATGTGGAAGTCCCTCAAGAATTTAGAAGAAATAAACCGCGTCTGGAAAGAGAGCGCAGTCTGCAGTTTTTGAAAGACGGATCATAAAGATATTTGTACCAGTTAATATGCCCAAGATTGGCGAATTAGAACCAATTCCGAACTGGACAGTATATAAAAATTATTAAATTTGTGCCAAGAGATTAAGTTGGCTTGGTCATCTTAACAGGATGCCGCATGAAAGAATTGTGAACAAGATCTCTAACTGGAATTCAGTGAGCATCAGGAGACTCTTCTTCAGATGGTATTTATGTAGTAAGTAGTATTTCCACTGAAAGCCTAAAATAGATCGAAAGATGATGTGATCAAAGACATCAGGAATTGAAGATGGAAAATTGAATCGAGCACTCGAAGAATAGAGGGAAATGGAAAAGGATAGTTGAGCATCTAGACATTCATCGAGGTCGTAGAGTCTTAGAAGAAGAAGAAGAAGAAGAAGAAGAAGAAGAAGAAACTGCATCTCGAACATCCCATAAACAGTAATAATCCTCTAACGCCCATGCACAGTAGTTAATAGCTTTAGATTTTATGTTGCAGGGCATTTCCTCCGGCGATTGCAATGGAATTTTGCCATCCACAGAATGCCGTTGTGTAAATGATGGTTGCTTTTTCAAATCTTTGTCTACCGCCACAGTATGTCCACCGGATGTCGAAGCCTAACCAACAAGGCAGGATTTGTTTAGAATAGCGAACTTTTCTGGAGCTGCAGAGGCGATAGACTGCATAGATGTGCTAATCTTGTCTCCGGGACAAGCTCTAAGCTCCCGACCGGTCTCCCGCCATGTGTGGTAGTGTAGTGCACGTTAGTGTGCGTAAGAGGTGATAATAGGACAAGGAAGATGTAGGGAAGATCTCGCGCGGCCCGGGACCGTTTGTTAGGGTACTGCGACGAAATTATGAGGAACCAGACTATCGTTTAGGTGAGATTATCATCCCAAGAGTCTCATCATGCAGTATTTAAGGCATTCATCTAGATAGTAAATTAGTGGTAAGAGATGGCATATAATTCAACAGTAAGAAAAACGTGGAAATCTTTGCATTTTGTATGCGAATACTAAGAAAAGTTCTGCAAACGCCAAGAGTTAGCATATCTAGCCTGGTTCGTCCTCATGGATACGGAGTTGCGTGTTGGGATCCATAACAGAAAGGCGCACCGGAAAAATTAGATAGAATACAGAGAAAAGCGAATAAATTACTATAGAAGTAACGCAACAAAAAAGTCATGGAACCTCTAGAAACGAGAAGAACAAAGGCGAGTCTTGCGCTCTTTTAAATCGTACGTAGGTCACAGCTTGAAGGAAATTCAGATTAGATTAGAAAAACCAAATTATTCGGCCGAAGCGATCAACCCAAAATTCGAGAAAGAAACAAAATTCAGATCTGGGAAGTTTTCTTTTGTACAGAACAATTAGAGATTGGAACAGTTTTTACCTGCAGCAGTTTCAAAGCTTTCTCTCTCAGTGTCCGAAGTTTTAGAAACAAATTAAGAAAAATACATTAAATAAGTATGTGCGGTGTAGTGGGTGAAGTCTGTGAAGTGCTGGTCAGTGTGTAATTCAAAGGTATATCCAAAGCAAAAAAAAAAATGTAGTGAAGTGAAGTGAATGGAAGTGCGGTGAACGTGATCAATGCTCTTTTCAATGCTGCTTTTCGTCTTGTATCTGTAATTATTATTATTATTATAATTATTATTATTATATATTATTATTATATTATTATTATTTTATTATAATTATTATTATTATTAATTATTATGTCTTACATATTCACAGTATCTACTGGTTGTATGTCAACCACACATAGTATGATGACCAGGTGTGTGGTTGCTTTACTGAGGTTCAGATGGCTTCTGACAATACGGCATGTATTCAAAATACAGTTTTTGCATATTATATACATTCCTGGTATCCAAGTGAAGACACTCCAGTGCCGAAGTGTCATTTTCGGGATCACTCCGTAGTGATATTAATTATAAGCACAGTCGTCACTTTTACTGATAGTTCCACTGAGTTGCGACTTCATAGGCGAGATTGGTATACTTCTGGATCTTCTTTGATTATTTTCCGAATGTTGTGGGTATTGGGTAATTGATATATTATAAGGAAAACCTGCTGTTGTTTCTATCAATGTACGTTATATCGGGTCTATTGCCGCGACATTCTGTCAGTGTAATGGAACGATCCCAGTGAGTGTGTGCTCACTCTTTCAAGCACATTTGAGGCACATATTTATATACGGCACGAAGTGGCGAGTAAGCCCGTTCTCAATGCCAATAATTGGTGTACTGCTTCGCCATTTCATCATGCTCTTTTTGTATTCCACCTGTGCGTGGCTTGCTACATCCACTTGTCACGTTTTGGATAGTTTCGCTTGCAGCCTCACATCTTCTACACGAGTCGGAATGAATGGTAGAATCTCTCAGAATGTGTTTTCTGTAGTTCAATGTGGAACACTTGGTCTGGATAGCTATCAATGAAGGCTTCTGTCTCGGAAAGAGATCCCCGTGCTGGACATGCGTGCGACGCAGAGATGTCGACTTCTGGTTTACTCAGCGTGAGGTACCTTCCATGCATGCTGGTTTCCATAAGGTTTATCTTTTCCGTTTTAATGATTGGTTGAACAGGCGGATGAAGCTTTTTCAAGTTCAGAGACTATAGTTATCAACTGCGCTCACTGCTTGCTGAACTCTCCACAATGTTCCAAGAAGTATCTTCTCAGTGAAGCAATTTGAGAGCTGTGTAGTTTATGAGATCTACAATACCTCGCCTCCTTGCGACCTTGGAAGGGAAAAAAGCTCAGTACTTGAATGGGGATGATGTTTGTGTTTGAGC